AAATGTCAGTCTTTATTCCATCCACCATGATGTTGCCTGTTGGACCAGTGGTGCGGATTTTTGTTTTCTTGAGTTTGAGATGGAATCCATATTGAATGCTGTAGTCTTTGTTCTGCAGCAAATGCTTCAAGGCCTCCTCACCATCAGCAAGCGAGGTTTATGTCATCAGCATAACGCAGGTTTTTGAATCTTCCTCCAATCCTGATGCCACATTCTTCTTCATAGAGTGTAGCTTCTCAAATGCTTTGCTCAGTATACAGGTTGAATAGGTATGAAGAAAGGGTACACTTTTCTCCACACAATGTTTCCATGAGAGCTGGATAATGAATAAGAATGACAAAAGAATTGATGCCTTTGAGCTGTGGTGTTGATGAAGAGTACTGAACATCCCACGGACGGCCAAAAGAACAAACAGATATGTCTTGAAGAAAGTGCAGCCAGAGTGCTCCTCACAGGCAAAGATGACAAAGCTTTGTCTCATGTACTTTAGGCATGTTATTAGGAGAGGCCGTTCCTTGGAAAGAGATATCATAGTTGGAATGGTGGAGGATCAGCAAAAGAGAGGAAGACCCTCAATGAGATGGACGGTGACAGTGACTGCAGCGATGGGCTCAATTGTGTCAGAGATAGTGATGATAGTATAGGATAGGACAGAGTTCAGGTCTGTTGTTCATAGGGTTGCTGTGAGTCATTACTCAACAGCATCTAACAACAATTTGGAGTTTACATTAACTTAACTTAAAGAATTTGGTCTTTCCTCTAGTTCTTGAGTCATCAACTCTAAAAGCCTCAGAATTTAAATGTGTTTTATTTCATAAGTACTCCAGATTGCACCTAACAGGGTAGATAAAATGATGAGCTAACTCTAAGGTGGGGGCTGGCTAGATCAGAAAGTCCCACCTTGTGATTGAAGGGCCTTAGAAAAGTCTTCCATTCATTACATAAACGAGCCAAACTCAAACCACTATAGTCAAGTCTATTCCAACTCATGGTGACCCCATGTATCATGGAGCAGGACTGCTCCATGAGGTTTCTTGGCTGTAATATTCTTTAAAGTATATCACCAGGACTTTCCATGGGGACAGTGTAAATTGTCAACTTTCAGATTAATAGTTTAGCACAAACCATTTGCATCACCCAAACCCCCTTAACCTTCACAAATTTACTCTAATTTGTGGTGACCCCTCCCCCATCAAGCTTTAAATCTTTATAGGAGACAGCCCATCTCTTCCCAATAAGCATCCTGTGGATTCAAACCATCAGCCTTTAATCTAGCATTACATCACATAGTACACCATGCCACTGGGACTCCAGGACCTTACAATAGCTCTAGACATTGAAGCTCTGTGGATTTTCTAGTTGGAAGATGTCGATGCACATGAGAAAGTAGCATGCCCTTTGGGACATGGAAGCTTCACATGAGGATTCCCTTAAGTCTGTCCATGCACCTCTTTGTTTGTATCATTTTTGTTGTAAGTATAGTTGTTGTTTTGTGACATCAAGTAGAATATGACTCATCATGATCCTAAAAACAAGAGATCTGAACCCTGTCCTGTCCATCCTTCTCATCGCTGACACACCAGAGCCCACTGCCGCAGTCACTGTGACAAGCCACCTTGTTGCGGGTCTTCTTTTCCTTTGCTCACCCTCTAACTTTCCAGGCCTGATGTCTCTCTCCAAGGGATGGACCCTCCTAACAACATGCCCAAAGGATGTGAGACACAGCTTTGCCCTCCTTGCATCTTAGGACCATTCCGGCTGCATTTGCTCTGACACGTGTCTGTTCTTTTAACAGTCTATGAGGTATTCTGTAGTCTCCATCATCATCACTCAAAGGCATCAATTCTTCTGTCATCCTTATTCTTGGAATTAATTCTATGAGCTGTTCCAGTGATTTACCATATGACATAGTATGATAACAGGGTGTGAAATACCTTGTTGATTTTATATGAGTTGTTTGCTGAAATATGTTTACATAGTGATGAAAATAAAATAAATAACATTGTAATTTTCCTTTTTTTAAAAAAAAGGACTATTGGGAGTTAGCCAATCAGAAGGGAAAGAGCCTAAGGAGGGCCCCCAGGCTAGCATCTGACATTCTGAAGTGATAAAGGAAAAGTCCAAATTACAGCCAGCTGGCCAGAAGTAAGAGTTCTGTGTGAATTCCCAGACCTGTGGCTGCCTTTGACAGTCCAAAGAATTCTCTACTAAACTTGTGAGATCTGACTTAGCTCCAGACTGCAAGAAGCAAGAAAGTAGTGCTGCATAGTCAGCTGGGGTCAAAACTAAGCAACACAGAAGTGTGTGGGGGGAAGTATTTTATTTATGTTCATTGTAATCTGTGTACTGTTGTCATTGTTATGTGCCATTGAGTTGCCTGTGACTCAGAGCGACCTTTTGTACAATAGCTCTGAACCCAGCCCTATTGTCAAAGATGTAAGGTAAAAGTACTGAAATGAACAAAACTATCATATTGGAGTGAGCTTTGGTGGCAAAGTCCGTAGAAAGTTGTGCTGCTAACTGACCCAGAGTCATTTGCGACTCATAGCGACCCTATGTACAACAGCCCTAAACCCTGCTCTATCCTGTGCAAATCTCATTGCCTCTGACACACCCATCTTGATTACCCCAGTCACTGAATCAATCCACTTCATAGAGGGTCTTCCCCTCTTGCGCCGTCTCTCCACCCTCCCAAGCATTATGTCCCTCTTCAAGGACCTGTCCCTCCTGCAACATGCCCAAAGTATGTCAGACAAAGCCCCAGAATCCTTGCCTCCAAAGAGTTGCTTGGTTTAATCCTCTCCAGGATGAATCTGTTTGCTTTCTTGGCAGTCCATGGTACATTCAATACTTTTCTCCAGCACCACATCTCAAAGGCATCAATTCTCCTTCTGTCCTCCCTAGTCATTGTCCAACTCTCTGATGCATAACAAGTGATTGCAAAGACCATGGCCTGTATCAGGCGCATCCTAGTCTCCAGAGAGACACCGTTGCTCTTGAGTACTTTAGAGAGGTCCCTAACAGCAGACTTTCCCATCGCAATATGTTTTTTGATTTCCTGACTGCTGGTACCAAGAGTGTTGACCGTGAAGCCGAGCAAACCGAAACTGTGAACAATCTCAATCTCTTCGCCATCCATCCTGACGCTGCCAATTGGTCCAGTGGGGAAAATCTTTGTCTTCTTGACTTTGAGCCTCAGTCCATACTGAAGGCTGCAGTCCTTGACCCTCTGCAGCAAGTGCCTGAAGTCCTCCTCAGTTTCAGCAAGCAGGGTTGTGTAATTTGCATAACGTAGATTGTTAATAGATCTTCCACCAATCCTGATGCCACAATTCTCCTCATAGAGCCCAGCCTCCCGGATAATCTGCTCTGCATACAGGTTGAAAAGGTATGGAGACAGGACACATCCCTGGCGTAAAACCTTCCCAATTTTGAACCATGCAGTGTTACCCATGGGAGAGAGAAGGGCAATCTCTTCTTGGGTGATTTATAGCCTCAGATGTGATGGCCACAGGTCTGAGGATTTTTATAATAGTATGAAGAACATATAATGATATTCTAGTTTTTAAATATAAGAGAGATAACTTTTTTAGAAAGATTCTGCTAGATGGATGGAGGCATATACAAAATGTCTACAAATCAGAAACTTTTGTATGTATTAGAAACAACCCACTAGAATGCACACCCATGTTTATGGGGGCTCTGTTCACAATAGCAAAGAGCTAAAAACAACCCAAGTGCCCATCAACAAATGAATGGATAGAGAATATCTAGTACATCCACACAATGGAATTGAAAAAACAAGAAACAGCATTGAAAAACAAGGAACTCATGAAATATTATGCAAAATGGATGACCCCGGAGGACATTATGCTGAGTGAAATATCTCACTCACAAAAGAACAAATATTGCTCAGGGCCACTGTTTCAAAACGGGAATGACATCAGGGTTGAGGGAAGACAGAAGGAGGGGAGAAATGATGTATACTCCATTGAAACGGATGAGGGAGAGAAGTGTTTAAAAGGGATATATGATTGAGTATTATTGTTATGAGAGGAATCCAGAATGAAGGTTGCACAGTGGAGTGGACTTGGCGGGGTGGGGTGGGGTGGTGTAACTGCTTAACAATGGAAGAGTTTTACTTTTCCTTTTCAAGAAGAAGAGTGAATTGGGGGAGAGGGGGTGGCAGGAAGAAGAGTGCAACAATGAATGACTGGAAACCCTAAGTCTCTGTAAACTTTTATTAAAATTAATTTTAAAAAAGAAAGAAATACGCTGGAAAAATAGTTCATTCATAATAGTCATGAAAAACATAATACTCAACAGTTCTTTGCTATGGAATCAGAACCATATCATAGCTGCGCCTCCAGGGGCTTTTCAAAGGCTATCAACAACAACGGAGGAGATTGCTCATCTTGTACCCTGGAGCCAGAGGTGAATTCGAGCAGAGAGAACCACGACTTTAGGGTTAGCAGTACAACTCCCTATAGACTACGTCACCAGAGCTCCTTCATAAAACATAAGTTACCTTCAAGTAATCATAATAAAGGAGCTCTCTGGTGGCCTAGTGGCAAGAAGCTGCGCTGCAATCCTGAAGGCATGAGGTTCAAGTCCACCAGCCACTCTGCAGGAGGATGGGCAATCTCCTCCCAAGTGATTAACTGTCTTTGAAAACCTGCCAGAGGGTCAGCTATGGGTCGGTTCTGACCCAATGGTAAAAAACAACGATCATAATAAGCAATATATAAAATCTATATTAATAAATTACTCCTTTATTGATATTTAAATGAAGATAGAGCATTTTCTAGATGCAAAGACTGGATGCTTGGAACTTGCCACTGTTACTCAACTAATTTGCTGCTTTAATGTATTTAAAATTAAAATCTCATTGAGATATTTGAGAAGCAAATATACTTTTAAAGATGATATGAGTAAGCAAAGTTGTCGAAGAAATCTTTTTAAAAAGAAGAGTGAGGGAGCAGGGCCCTGAAGTCTGTGGTGGTGTGGGTGATTTGGGTTCCGGAGGAATCGTGTTGGTCCTCAGTATCTCCGGTTAGCCACTGCCGCCTTATCCAGCCCTCGCCATGTTCCTCACCCGGTCTGAGTACGACAGAGGCGTGAATACTTTTTCTCCTGAAGGAAGATTATTTCAAGTGGAATATGCCATTGAAGCTATAAAGCTTGGTTCTACAGCCATTGGGATCCAGACGTCAGAGGGTGTATGCCTAGCTGTGGAAAAGAGAATTACTTCCCCACTCATGGAGCCCAGCAGCATTGAGAAAATTGTAGAGATTGATGCTCACATAGGTTGTTCAATGAGTGGACTAATTGCTGATGCTAAGACTTTAATTGATAAAGCTATAGTGGAGACACAGAATCATTGGTTCACCTACAATGAAACTATGACAGTAGAGAGTGTGACCCAGGCAGTGTCCAATCTAGCTTTACAGTTTGGAGAAGAAGACGCAGATCCGGGGGCCATGTCTCGTCCTTTTGGAGTAGCACTATTATTTGGAGGAGTTGATGAGAAAGGACCTCAGCTGTTTCACATGGACCCATCTGGAACCTTTGTACAATGTGATGCTAGAGCAATTGGCTCTGCGTCAGAAGGTGCTCAGAGCTCCTTGCAAGAAGTTTA